CTGACAATGGACTTGATACATTCTCAAACGTTTCGCCGGCATCGTAGTCGGCATCATCAGTGAGCCTTGCTTAGAAGCTATCAACTCAATGTACTCAGTTTTCTTTAGGACTATAACTGTGATAGCACATCCAATCAAACCTTCTCGGTGTTTGACCAAATAAATTGATGCTGGCATACTTTTCATCTCGCTTGAAAGGCTGATGGAAGGGGTTCGTAAATTTGCCTCATCGAATACCTAAGGAGGGTTGCTATGGGCTTGCAACTATTATATTGTTCGAATAAGAGCTTAGCTCAACGTACTACGACCACCGGATAAGAAGAGATGGCTTGATTAACCTAGAGTCTAGTTTGTGCTCTTAATTGCCAACTGACTCATGAATATTGCACACGCATCCACGAACTCAAAATAATCCGTAGTATTGCAGGATTATACACTGGTTTATTTACACAGTGAGGGGCTTTGATCACATCCGCTTCCTCTGCATGCATAATTTTACTTGTCTACATGCATGCAGGACAATTAAAAAGTAGCCAACCAAACTATGCAATGTCTCATTGAGATCTAAAAGTTAGCTATAGGAAATAATTAGAATTTAAGCCGATTACCCTTCTTGGTGTATTGTTTTTTGGCGATTGTTCGTAAATGATGGTTTCTGGCTCTGATGATGTCCCTCGTATGGCGTATCAAGACTTGACACGGATCGCAGGATCAACTCCAAGGCAACCTTCGGTATCCTGTGAGGCCGATTTACGAGCCCCCTCCACTCGCCTTTTTAAACGAAATGAAGTTTACCAGAATCAATTTATTGAATGAATCTAAGAAACCATGCTTCTCTTTATATATGACTAACCATATTCTTAATTCTTTACTTTGAGATCGTGGATGCCAGCGCCTGTCTAACTCAAATTGAGCTATCTCAAGTTATAGGGTCTCAGGTCGATTTGAGGCCACGCAATCGTCTATCATCTCATTCACGAGGCAAGCTGAAATCTCAATTGGTCATACCCCTCTGCTCCACACAAACCCATCTGGAGGCTTTCGAAGATCCCTCAACTTCCAGCACTTGCATTGATTTAGCCACTTCATCGTTTGAGGAGGTCACTCCCATGGGAATAGAGGAAGATTTGCTGATAAGCATCACAATGCCCTGCCTTGAGGTTGCTACTGTCGGAGGCGGTACATGTCTCCCTGCTCAACGTGCCTGTCTCAGCCTACTTGGTCTTGCCGTAGATAGGCCGGCAGAACATCTTGCTAGATTGATTGCAGCGACAGTGCTGGCCGGAGAACTGAGCCTATTAGCAGCGCTTGATACCGATGACCTGGTTAATGCTCATATGTGCCTTAATCGTGCACAGGTAAATTCAGTCCTTCAGTCTATGTTTCCTTCAAAAATTTATTTTCATTTGCTTATTTCCTCTGTCCATTTTTACTCTTTATTTGTCCTATCAGGTTAGAATATTAACTTTGCAATCGCACTTATCAGCTTAGTTAACTATTAAAGATGAGAATATCCTTTTGTCTTCATATATTAATCTCTCTTTGTACAGCTAAATATCCTATCATTAATTACGGATGCTTAAATCACATTAATTCCGATTCGTTTAGCCATTCTATTCAGTCCGACAATAACCTTGGTGGTTCTCAAGTGTCTATGCTATCGATGAGACCTGTGAAATGTAGTTCAAATTACTTGTTTAAAAATTTCTTTTACTACCGAATTATGTTTGACTTTGAGGCTTAATAACGCGGCTCGATCCTCTGAGTTTTTTTCGCCTTTTTAACTTTTCTCGCCTAACTCTGATACCAAACGATTCGAATTTAGATTTAGTAGATTATTAGAATCATCGGTGATTTTAGCGTTAATTAACGGTTATCTTAAGGATTTTTCTCGCAACAGCTGATTTGTAATCCAAGGTAAACTTTTAGATATCATTAAGGTCACTACAATAAGAGATTTGGTGTTTAAAATTAGGTCAATATGGACCTTAGTTATAGTGAAGCACTAGCAGTAAGTTGATCTATTTTAAATAATATATTTCTAGACTCTAGCTAGTGTTGAATTACCAATATAGAGGTATTTTAAAGATATGATGAGAGCTGTGAAGAAATTTAAAACAGTTAGGTGCAAAATCAAGTGAAGTATATCCTGACTATATGAAAGGGTCGTTTATTTTGTTCTTCAATTGTATGCATTGAAGTTGCTGAAGTGAGCTGAGGGTTTTGCCGAAATTTGTACATATTTTTCCTTTTCTGCTGAACGGCTCATGAGACGGTAGGTAGGGGTTTGTTTTCACAGAGCTCGATACTGGTCCTACCAATGTAATTCTTGAGGTAGAAGATCCTTTATATGGTCCCATATACAGTTCTAGATAAAACTTAGAAAACCTATACATATTGCATACATATTTGATTTAATGTATCTTGAAGCATTTTTTGCTGTGCCTAGAAAGTTTTGCCTTCTCTATTACGTTTTTAAACTCGCAGGCACCAAACCCCTATCCCCTAAGTTACGCATTATATGAACATCTCTATGAATGTAAGTACTTAGTCTGTCTTGATGCCACAATTAATCCCAGTGCACATCTTAGCTGGAGAATAACGTAATGAATACCTATTGCTGAATAGGCATTTAAATGTACAAATCCAGCTATCCGATCCTAGCGGAACTTAATTTAATTCAAAGCCCTCATTTTAAAGGTGATTTTGTTAGCACGATCTACAGCCATTTGAGGCTGGCTCTAAATTAGTCCTAAAATGCTGAGAAATTTCACTTTGCCACCAAATTCAATTATTACAGTATCTAGGTATTCTAGCCAAATTAGTCTTGTTAGATTGGTCCAAGTCTTTTTCATGTGTTAAGTCTTTGGACAAACCAAAACTTTGAGATGATTTTAGCATAAACGCAAATACACAAAAATTCGAGGAGGCCTGTTTGATTAATACGATCTAGCTTGAGAGCATGCATTTTCACTAAATGCTGTGAAAAGCGGCTGCACTGGATTTTATGGACTAAGATGTACTCTATATACCTAAACTACGGGCCATTGTCAAAGTGGCTTCCTTTGGAAACTTGTTTCTCGTTCGGTCTTAGTAGAGAGAGGGGCTGACCTCAGCTTTAGCTTCCAGGTATGCGCCACACTATCTTGGTTTTCATATCTTCAAGATATCTCTTGGTTGCTATTTTTATTAACCCGGATTTCAGATTGATAATGGCGTACCTTTTATTTTTTTTGAAAAATTGGGTCGCAAGGATTCATAGAATGGCCTAACCGGATATCGCAGGACGATTGCTTTGGACTTTTTTCTGCTGAACTGTTCGAAGAAAACCTTGTCTTACCGTCATACGACTTTGATGATTCCGTGCTGAGCTTTCGTCCGTCATGTGACGGAAATCGACAGAGCCAAAAACCATTATTCACGAAAAAAATCACCAAAAATAACTAAACCGATAAAGGTGGCATGCTGAGATCCTACTTAGTTCTTATACCTTAATTTGCGATCGTAATGAGGCATTCCATGATTTGGTTGGTTGACATATTGTTAACGCACTGTTGCAGGCAACTCTTAAGTCTCGACTTTAGTGTTTCTGTAGGATCCTTAGTTATAATTCTATACGTATCAAAACCAGCTAAAGCCAGCATCATCTTTTTAATATAATCGATCCTTTCCATTACTACCACTGCTCCTTTGTCTGCTCTTAAAACTATTTGCTCTCGTTTTCTAAGCTTCTTTGTGATACTATTAACATATCTTTGCTTATTTGGTGGTTCTACGTGGTTATCAATTATAGGAACAACCTGTATTTCAATCTCACTTCTAGTTTCTTCTGCTAATCGGTCAATAAAGTTAATAACCTCTACTAAAATCTCATCAGTGTAGCTCTTCCTATTCGGCAAAGCATAATTAAGACCTCTAGATAGAACTTCCTCAGTAGTATTGCACAATGGTGTTTTGTACAGGTTAACCACTTTCCAACCTATCTGGTTTAATTACAATTGTTATGTTAAGATCTATTTCTAATTCCCAGATTCTTAAGTTTCCTATCGTGACTCTTCCCTACCCGACAAAATACTACATCATATTACTTATCAGCCATTGATTGAAGCTTCAGGAAATCCTCCGAGTTAAGTGTATCAGACAAAACTTATCTTAGTCGGGTTTTCGTTTGGATCAAATAATGTAATCTAATAACATTTGAAGAAGTGTTTCCTTAATAAAATCATGAAATACTTTTATAATATCCCTCTTAGGTCTATTTGTCAAATTTGGTCTATCTAGAATACAAAACTTAGGGATAATACTACACGAAGCAAATACTTTCAAAATATAATATTATTAACTCCCCTGGCCGTTCGTTTCCTGGTATTTGTATAAACTGATGAACTTCGAAAAGTTTTGTCTTCATACGTGCTTCTGAGATATGAAGAGAAGCTGGGTTTCGAAGAATCCCTTAATAATTAAGGGATTCTTCGAAACCCAGTTTCTCTTCACTGATTTTAATTATTTTATTTTATTCTAATTTCTTTGCCTTTATTTTTTCTTCTAGATGAGCATTGTCTGCCAATCTTCAAATGAAGACTATCCTTGCCACTCCTCCCGTGCACCAATTTATCCTGAATGCTTTGCGCCCGGTTTCACCAAAAATACCAGCTTAAGCTCTATACATTCTTTTATGTAACTTCTCTGATCTTCTCTGATGCCTTCTTGATATCCATCTTTCGGGTCCATAAACTATACAACTTTTCTTTTTCATTACTAATCTTTAAAAATTCCTAAACATTCAATGCTTATTCCACTCTATCGTCTCTTTCATGCTACCTTAATCATTTATGTACTTGCCAGTATAACTTCCTCAGTCAGATGACCACTGTTAGCTTGTTTATGTATCTCTGCGCAATTCCCTTGTATGCCTTTTCTTATTGAAGCAAAATTCTTTCATTTATATTACTTTACTTATTTTTTAGAATGTTATCTTTAGATATAACCACATTATATATTTTTGGTTAATATGATCGTTCTTCAAACATTAGATAAGGGCTTCTCTCTATTTTTGCCCTAAACTAGCTTATATAAAGTTATGTCTTAGCTACCTCCTTTCCGTCTGATAATCTTTATTTACTTTCTTTTTTCGAAACTTTCTTATATTTATTGCTCCATAGCAATATAATATGGACCTTTTGGTTTGCAACTTTTATGATGTTTATTTTATCAAGTTCCTTTAGGGTGCCAACGAATAAATCGATGCATTAATATCGATTTGCAGGTGAAGTCATCTTCGTATGAACATTAATATATACATCAAGATAATAATGAGGAATGGAATAAATAAATATGAGCAAACTTCAAATCAACTTTTGTGAATTAGTAGTGCCTCTAGTGACAGAATAAACGATTGTGCGTTATTCCTTTTCCTTAAGGAGTACTTGTTGGTGTTTATTTAAGTTAATTTGAACAAAGTCCTAAGAGGTGAATTTTATCATGAAGTTTTTGAAACGAATAGCTGTTCCAAGTTTTGTCTTTATTTCATCCTCACCAAATAAACCCTTAATGTTATTTACAGGACATCTTCCAAATTTTATCAACGAACTATTTGATTAATATTATATTCGCTTTAGTTGTGTCCGCTTAGCTTATACCAGTGTATACATATTATAAAATTAGATAACCACAACTTTATTGGTTGCTGATAAAAATTGGGGCATTATTACCAGCTTAATAAAGTTGGGAGTAATACCTCTTGTGATTATACAGTTCACATGTGGGATTATTTAGATCTTAACTGAAAACGAATTTGTATTTTAGCTAGCCGAATTTCACATTCAAAAATTATTTATTTTGAGCATTCTTTCTCGCATAGTAAGGATTTATTTAACTTCTTATATGTACTCCTGATATTGATCGTGTTTCCTACCTGTTGATTTCGGTGCTCATAGTTTTGCGTTAAGCTGGTGAGATTTCATTATCTGAAAACGCTAAGCCTGGAGTGCTCTATTTTTATTTTAGGTTTTTTCCGTGTATTCCGCTACCTCCGTTAGTTCAAAATGACTGCCTGTACAGTTCAGCCATCTCTTGTCCATTGAGACGACATTCTTCCAAAATAAATTCGACTGCATTAAAACATCATTTTGTAGCACACTGACTTGGGTAATGATTTCAAAGTCTAAATAACTTAAGCAAGTGTTGTGGTTTCGTAGTAATCCGTCTTTATTCCTCAGCTCTTTACCACTCCGCGTATCTTTTAAATAAGAAGCATGAAAGCAAAGTCAAGACATAAGTATATAATCGTGGAACTTTATTTTTTCTTTATATTCCCCATCCAACTATTTATTCCTTATCATATTTTCAATCAAGTCTTGACAATAGTTATATTTAGCTATTTGTTTAAGCCTAAGAATAGTCTCTTTCCGCTAATTTAATATTTCTAATTTGTTATGATTCTAAAGTTCCATCATTTGTCCTGCTATTATTGTTGTGGAAGAAGGCAGTTTTTGCTGGCTATGTAGATCCCTGTCAAAACTTACTGCTCGGATAACTAAAACTTCCACAAATGGTATGGAATCAAGCTTTTTTTCTATTGTCAATTAATATTACCATGCTTCTCTAATCTATACTCTGCCCCCAAATGGCACAATAATCATCAATCTATCCGACTGGTAATTTCTTTATTATTCTCATCTCTTCCGTTAAACGTTCCTCATTTTTGTTATATGATTATTGGCAAAAATTAGAGCCAAACAAGGCCCAAATTTATATCACCATACTATTTGTAATCTATCCTACAAAGGTGAACAAAGATACAATTTAATTGGAAGTTATGGAGATCAAGATCGCAGTCTCCCTCGTCGCAACTTGGTCTTGTTGTCAGGGTGACTTAGTAGAACAGACCTACTTCTCACTTGTTTACATTCCACTCGTAAAAATGTGTGCCCTTTTGTAGCAAATCTAATGTGGCCACATCACAATTGCTATTCACCCCAACCACCTCTCTTTCGATCGGCTGATCCGACTCGGGCCTCCAAC